GGAGCCTTTTAATGCATTTTATGGAAAAAAAGGACATTTCTTGAGCATTAAAAAACAAGGAAGAAAGCAACGTTTTTTATCTAAATGTATTATTTGTACTATTGTGACTGTTATTGTTGTTCATATTATTTGTTTACAGTTATCTTTATTTGTTTATTATTATTGTATTATTCATTATCCAGCAGTGGCTCAGTCAGTAGGGGCTTGGACTGGGAGAGGACGTGCGTGACTTTGGTCTCAGGAGGAAAGAAGTGAATTGTTCGTTTTGTGGATCTCTTTTGTTTCGTCAAACTTATAGTTGTGTTTTTTTTGTTCTGAGTCCCCCCCCAAACAGCCTTGCTGGCTGGGGGTTTCCCCCGACTTGTGTGTTTTTTCGATCGGATGGATAAACTGGCAAAGAAAACGGGAATGGATTTATCAACTGCGTCACGGATCACGGACATTGACACACTACAGCAGAGTGCGGAGAAGGACGGGACATCTGTGAATGAAAGAGGAAAGGACAATGACAACGAAAATGAGAATGGACAAAATGAAAAAACAGGAGTAGGAAAACAAAAGGAGGTGAGAGAGGAGTTTGAGTTGATTGTGGAGGAGGAGAAATATAAAAAGGAGCTGACAGTGGTGGTGGCGGTGGAGAGTGGGAAAGCAGTGGTAACTGTTATGGATCTGCTAAAAGGAGTTAAGAAAGAATGTGGGATTGTGATGGGATGTCGGGTTAAAGGAGATGGGCTATATGAAGTGACAATGGCTGAAGAAAAAGGAAAAAATAAACTGTTGGATGGAATAAGAATCAATGGGGTTTTGGTGCGGGGCAGAGACTGCATGGCAAAAGAACTCGGTGTCATTCCTAAATATACCTTCGTATATATTGGACACTACAATTAAAGGCAGATTGGCAATGTGGGGGGTTCTGCCTGTCTCGGCAATAAAGAATGTGGCCCGGCACTGATGTGGTTCATGGGACGAGGTTTCTGAGAGTGGAATTCAATAAGGAAGTGCGGTCACTTCCGTACTCCACAAGGTTCGAGACTCTAGAGGGGCCGGAATACTTCAGGGTGATTCACGACAAGCAGGTACCGGTCTGCAGGATGTGCATAAGGCCAGGGCATTTATACAAGAATGCCCTGAGTTTAAATGCCATAAATGTGCCAAGCAGGGACACTATGCCCGGGACTGTGTGACTCGGGAGGAGGGGGCGAGCGGAGCCAGGGGGAGAGAAAGTGCCCAGGCGGAAAACACAGCGGAGAATGGAATGGAGGAAGAGGAGGGTGGAAGTCAGGAAGAGAGTGAAGAAGAGGATATACGTGATAAGGCTGGGAGCAGGATAAACGAGGAAGCTGTGGCTGCTGTCGCGGCGGTGTTTGTGGTGGCTGCTGCAAAGAGAGAAGCTGACGCGGCTGCCATGGATGGTGGAGGAGACGGAGGGAGGAAGAAGGGGAAAGCAGACGAAGGAAAGAGGTGTAGTAGCAGAGCCAATACTGCTGCTGTTCCGGCTGCTGCGGATGATGGACAGACTGCGAGGAGTGGTGAAGGTTTGGCTGAGACTGAAGTAGAGGCTGTGGTGGATGTTATTCTGGGGGCAGAAACTGATACCGAGGCTGAAGCGGACGTTGAAGGTGAACCTGATCCTGAGGCTGGAGGAGGAGCTGTCGGTGGGAGGAGAGGAGGAGAAGGAGGAGAAGGAGGCGGAGGACAGACGGCTGAGGGAATGGAGGTCAGCTCGGTTGTGTCGGACATGGAGGAGGGAGGGGTCGACGAGGAGAACGAGTATGAGGACGAGGAGGTGGAGATGACAGGACCCATAGAGGAGAAGATCTTTGGCGAGGCGAATGCTGGGTTAAAGAGCAGAGGAATGAGGAGAGAATCCAGCAGGCTGAATGCAAAGAGGAAAGCTGATAAGGAGAAAGCGGTGGAGAGAAGACGGGTGAAAGCGACAGGAGGAGTTGCAAAGTGTCCGGACAAAAAATAAATAGAATGAAAACAATAATAACCTTAATAACACTTGTAATGGTGACAATTTCCTCTTTCAATGGAAATGGGCTGAGGTCCAAGGACAGGAGAGAGCAGGCCTTAATGATATGTGACTCAGACATTATTTGCTTGCAAGAGACACATTGGGATGAAAGGTGTGTGGAGGATGTAAGGAAAGAATGGATGGGAGAAATGTATGTAAATAATGGGAGTGTGGGTGCTAGAGGGGTGGCAATATTAATTAAAACAGGGGTGGTAACGAATATAAGGAAAGTTAAGGATGATGGTGTTGGGAGAATGGTAGAAAATGTGAAAACAAAAAATATGTATAAATGGTTAAAAGGGGATGTGATTAGAAGACCTGCATCAGAAAGAGTGTGGATGAGTGTTGTGAACGGTATGACTGGCAGGAGAATGTGGGAGAATGTGAAAATTAAGTGGAACAGTATTGAATGTGATCATTTAGATTTTTTGTTGAGGCATAATAGGGTGTTTAACAACCTGATCATTAGTCATTTTGATGCAACTGTTGAGAGAGAGTGTGATGTGTGTAAGGATCAGGTTGAAACGTGTTTGCATGAGTTTGTTGAATGTAAAGAGCTTGTTGTTGTTTTTGGAAGGATGAAAGAGTTAATTGGTAGATGTTGGAAATGGAATGGAAGGAGCTGTGGCTGTTTGGTGTGATTGAGAAGAAGGATGAATGCAATGTGAATCTTTTAAATTATGTTCTGAGCCATGCAAGGCGTGCGGTCCAAATAAGGAGGAACATTGCCCATTTCGAGGGTAAAATGTCAGAGGTGTGGCATATAATGAAGAGGACAGTAAAAAGGGACATTAACCTTGTGCTAATACATGTGGAAAAGGACACATTTTGCGAGGATTTTGTGGATGGCAGCAGGCTAGTTGAGCTGGATGAGGAGGGAGCATTGTGCTTCAACTTTGAACGGAAAACTTAAGGCACACTACCTTTAAGCTAGTGGAATGAAATATTGAATGTGTGTATTATGAGCAATGCTTTATGTAGTTGTGATGAGATGTTAAATGTCTATTTTTGATAATAAAAGATAAAAAAATAAAATAAATAAAAAGTAGGGGCTTGGACTGTGAGCCGTAGGGTCGCCGGTTCAAGTCCCCGAACAGACCTAAAATATGTGTTGGACTGCTACTTGGAGAGGTCCCAGTTCACCTCCTGCCCTGCCGTGGTGCCCTTGAGCAAGGCACTGGACACTTCCCCCCCCTCACTCCCATTGCTCCCTGGCGCTGTACAATAGCTGCTCCTAGTACTAGACTCCTGGTACTAGGATGGGTTAAAAGCAGAGAACACATGTCACTGTGTGCTCTGCATGTGAGACCATTAACGAGGGGTTCATCCCTACCATTCTATTCTATTATTATTATCACCATTATGTGCATGTCATTTTTACTGTATTGACTTTATTTAAGTGATATTATGTCAGTTAATGTCTTTTGCATTTAATTATGTATTGTTTGATTATTGTCAGGTTCGTTTTTTGTTGTTGTTGCTGTTGTGCAACTTTAAATGTTGAAAATAAATAAAGACAATGGCAAGAAAATAAAGAAAAATAAGGATGTTTTTTCCTTTCCGTCTGTTTTATCCTGCAGTTTGGACGTTCAACTTTTGCCCCATGTCGCCCATTTATGTAAGTGATCTATATCAAGCATATACATTGTAATTGTGTCTCCATAAAGTTTAAATTGTAAAGAGGAAAACAGACTTTCTGGAGCTTTACTTGAATAATTCCATGGTTTTTGTCGCACTGGTTTAACCCTAAACCACAAAGATGCTTTGAAATCACCAAAATCAGAGCGGACATGCACGATATTCACTGCACGGCAACAATATATTATATATCATACCCCTGGATCTATATATATGTCTTTATTATGAAATCCATTCATCCTGTAGCATGTGTGTATGTACTTCAGCGTGTTCAGGAGTCTGTTTGAATACATGCAGCAGAGCGAGTTGTTCCATCATGTCCTGCCAGCAGCTAGCTTCCTGCAGAGCCAGCCGCGGGGCACCGGGCCACAGAGCACTTTGTTTTGGTGTATTTCTTGTTTCACTTATGCTGAACAGTCTGCTTGTGGCAGGTGCACTGATGCATGGTGCAGTTAGTGTTGCTGCCCTTTAGTTTATTCCAGATGAAACACATCAGAGCGTAACCAGTGCTGCATTTGAAACTATTCTCACGTTGGCTGTGCTCGGTTCTCAGCAAAACGACGTCAACTGGTTCTCTATAGCCCAGTTTTATTACACTTTATTCCTGATTATTCCCAATTAGCTGCCGAACAAAAGGCCTGAGCTTATTTACAAATCCCTGTGACATTTGACCTCTTGCTTCCTGTGAATAGCATTGCTAACACCTGCAGTGGTGTCATCAAGTGCATTTACTCAAGGCCTGTTATTAAGTACAATTGTGAGGTACTTTAAGTGAGTATTTTCATTCTAGCAGTTTACTTAGTTAAAGATTGTAGATGCCACACTTTTACTTTAACTTGTAACAGATAATTATTAAAAATTAAGAATTGCTACTTTCATTTAAAAGCTTGGAGTACTCCATCCACCTTTAAGATTCTAATTTAACACAGAAACAAGATGGACCATTTATTTCCTCTTTAACAGTCCAAAGTCTTCCCATCCCTTTCTATTTTTCTCTGTCTAGGTTTAAGTTTCAATTCAATATTTGGGCTTACACATTTAGTTAGGGCCTGGTTCGTTAGTTTATTTATTTGTACTTCCTATTTATTGACTTAATTTATCCATAAATGCTCTTTGTTCAAAATACAAACTCCTTGTATGCCTTGAATTGGAGGGGATGATATGGAGTAACATACTTAGAGTCAGATGAATTAGTTTCTACTGCCAACTTGCATATGTTGGGAAGTTGCACTAGGTACTCAACATGTCCTGGTTCACAGCAGGACTCTATGAGCTGGCAAACGGACTAAAGGTGGAATATCTCTTCATAGACGAGGGGCATCTTGCTGCTTAAATGTCAGGTTACCTGAGCTGTAGGGCAGGAAGCAGCTGGGGTTGAACTCCAGTTTCTTCATGAAGCGGATCTGGCCGTTGTCCCGCAGACAGTAGAGGTTCCTCTCACCCAGGACGAAGATGGAGGAGGGGGAGGAGGAGGAGGAGGAGGAGGGCACACACAGATCCAGGGCCTGTTCTCCCAGGACAAACGTCCAGTCAGGCTGAAGGAGAGTACATTAGATTGGATTTAATACACTTTATTTATCACAAGTTAGGAAATGGTTTTGTTACAGCAGCGTGAGTTTAAAAAAGAAATAGACAGTAGAAAGATAAATATCTATATAGAGTATCTAGATAACAAAATATAAAATATGATACGACAATCATTTATTGCCTGATCAAGTCTGAAATGTGAATCACAGCAGCTCCATTTGCAACATCAAACAAGGACAGATATTAAGACACGGTACAAGGAAAACAAACATTTAACATAACTGCAATATAAATAAATATACACACACACAATGTATATTCTCAGTGACACCCTTCACAGATTATAAAGCAGTCACTGAGAAACAGTGTGTGAATGTTTCCTTGAGCAGGTGGCACCTTGTGTGGCTGACTTGTCTCTGAGAAACACTTTGAGGAGGCAAGAAGAATGGAAACGCGCTGTATAAATGTAGTCCTTTAATCGTTGGGGTTAGCGGACCAGTGTTATTGTAAAATATGAATTCCTCTGTTGTTTACATTTGACTCGGGGAATACAAATAAGTAAACCATTTCATGCTTAAGCTGCATATGTGACGGAAACTGACTGAAATCACTGTGTACACACATAGTCAGTTTATCCGTGGCAGCTGGTGTTTTTATAGACTCACCGTCAGCCTCTTGCCTCCCGTCTTCAGCGGCAGATCGGCATCCTGTCGACTCTCTGCCTCTGCAGCCACAGCCAGAGTCTCATACCTGAGAGAGAGAAACACACAGTTTACACACACACACACACACACACACACACACACACACACACACACACACACACACACACACACACACACACACACACACACACACACACACACACACACACACACACACACACACACACACACACACACACACACACACACACACACACACACACACACACACACACACACACACACACACACACACACACACACACACACAAGTGTCAGTGGATCACATTCAATCTCCTGTCAGCATCAGCGTTAAGGGTGCTGCACGCCGACCACCGTTTGCAAGTTTCTTTATGAGCTGTTTCTGAGCTCTCTGCAAACAGACAACTGTCAGACATGTAAAAGTGTCAAGGAATGTGTTTGGGTTATGTCAATGTTGGTGTGTGTGTGTGTGTGTGTGTGTGTGTGTGTGTGTGTGTGTGTGTGTGTGTGTGTGTTGTGTGTGTGTGTGTGTGTGTGTGTGTGTGTGTGTGCAGTGTGTGTGCTGTGTGTGTGTGCTGTGTGCTGTGTGTGCTGTGTGTGCTGTGTGTGCTGTGTGGAAGTGGGCGTGCAGTGTTGAAGTGTGTGTGCATGTGTTGTGTGTGCAGTGTGGAAGTGTGCTGTGTGTGTGTGCAGTGTGTGTGTGTGTGTGTGTGTGTGTGTGTGTGTGTGTGTGTGTGTGTGTGTGTGCAGTGTGGAAGTGTGTGTGTGTGTGTGTGTGTGCAGTGTGTGTGCTGTGTGGAAGTGGGCGTGCAGTGTTGAAGTGTGTGCAGTGTGTGTGAGTGTGTGTATGTGTATGTGTGTGTGTGTGTGTGTGTGTGTGTGTGTGTGTGTGTGTGTGTGTGTGTGTGTGTGTGTGTGTGTGCAGTGTGGAAGTGTGTGTGTGTGTGTGTGCTGTGTGTGCAGTGTTGAAGTGTGTGTGCGTGTGTTGTGTGTGCAGTGTGGAAGTGTGCTGTGTGTGTGCAGTGTGTGTGTGTGTGTGTGTGTATGTGTGTGTGTGTGTGTAGAAGTGTGTGTGCAGTGTGGAAGTGTGTGTGCAGTGTGGAAGTGTGTGTGTGTGTGTGTGCGTGCGTGCGTGCGTGTGTGTGTGTGTGTGCGTGAGTGTGTGTGTGTATGTGTGTGTGTGTGTGTGTGTGTGTTAGTTAAAATCCCCTAAGTACTTGCGAATCATTCGTTGTAGTTGCTAGAGAGTAGGGAGTCTTGATATCTGTTCAGCGCACATGGACTGGACATCGCCCTTTGTTTTAATATACCTCTCAGTGGCTATATGTGGGTACTTTTTAACAGAAACAACATTACAATTATGGTAACTATACATTTAACCTCAGCTCTGACTTTATCTGACCTTTAAGAGGGGAACAATACACAATTAGCTACTTCAGTTATGACTGGCGTAGCTGCAAGTGAAATGCTTTGCTTAAGGACACTTTGCAGGGAGCATTTCTCATTTAAGAATTCCCCTTTAGATATTCCACAGCCAGCCTAAAAAATAACTCTCTGGTTACAAATTGTGCTTCTTTTACCACAAGCCCAAGACCACAACGACATCAGCTTTTTTCCTGAGAGAAATCCCCTCTGTGAGTCCAGGGCAGACATCCGAGCACACATCACGTATTCACATTTTAAGTCTAACTCTGTAAAACATGATCGTTATAAAGTGAATCCGCAGCGAGCGTCTCATATTGCCCCTTCCTCTTATACAGCTTCTGTCAGGTCAGTCAACAAGCCGCCGACCCCGGGATCTGCGGTCGATCAGTTTTAATCAGCGAGCTGTTTAACGATAAAGTGGTCCGACTGATCTGTGGTCAGTTGACTTTGGCCTCTTCAGCTTTAGGAGTTTTCCAGTAAGAAGCTGGCAGTGGGAGCAACTTGGCTGGAAGCTATCCTTCTCCTTTAACACCTGGATGAACGGAGAGATCCAAAACCGACCCAGCCCGACTCCGGACCACAACCCAAACACGACATAACAGCCGATGTATCCACTCACAGTTTTCTCACTCTGTGTTATATATGTCGGCCGTGGACGGACTGGTAATCACAGCTGGCAGGTACGAAATCCACTTTAAAATTGTAAGGAGGGTAAACCAATATGGCTGCCACATTAGGGCCACTGGTTGGGATTCGTTCCAGCCATTTAAAAAATGATATTTCTCCTCTGGCTTTAGTGGTGTGAAAAATCTAATTGGACAAATTGGACAAACTGACAGCACATGAAGAATGCAGTATGGTGTGCAATGAGTGTGTGAAGTGTTATTGATCAGGTTGGATACTTAAAAACATTCAATACGTGCACATAATATACACTCATGCACTATTTAGCAACTGTTATGCTTATTCTGTGACAATCAGATCAATGTTCGATTTTATTTACATTTCTAATTTGTAGCCCTTTTTTCAACTGTTGTGATTTAACTGGTTTGTCGGTTTCCCTTTTCTGTGTGAGTGAACAGAGCATGTTATGATATGTGTATAACACATGAATGTAAAAGGCTGTATTTCATATGGTTAAAATATTAAATACAGATATTTTGGGGAATATTTTGCCTTCCAAATTGTCAAATCGCATCCAATTGCCTGAAGAGTCTAAGGATAGAGGGTCTAAGGATAGAGGGTGTCGTTTTTCTCATACTGATATTCTGAACAATCTGTGCTGTTGTATTAGCTGTAAAGTGTCTCTACTGTAGGCTATTTTTATTATATGTACAGCACTTTGGCTCCACCAAAAATCGTTTATAAATGTGCTATATAAATAAAACTTGATTTGATTTGATTTGAAGAGCATTTCTTTTTAAACCTGGATAAGTGTATAGAGAGGCGAAGTCCCGCCCATCTACTTCCGCCCCATGGGACCTTATTTCAGAAAAAGTATGTATTGAAGTCAATGGAGAGAAAAAACGTATGTCTTGATCCTGTTTGAATTGTGCCACGAATTACACATATGATGTTTGTCAATCTTAACAAATAATTTCCATGTCAAAAAAGTCACAGTTTGTCGTAAAACTGTTGAAATATAAGACTATGAAAAATAGGCAACTAGAAAGACTACAAATCCCAGAGTCCCGGTCCCGCATGCTGGCTCTCACGGAACCGACTAACTCCCCTTGTGTGTATGTACAGCTCTCAACGTGTCCAGACTTGGAGTGATTTTCACCTCTTTTAATACTTTCCGCCTCATTCTGAAAGAAAGAAGTGAAATGTTCAACGTGACGGCCGTCTTGGTGTGTGGTGCGAGACGGGAGATGTAGTTCATTGAGCGGTTTCACACAAATAAAGTGTTACTTCAGTTTTACGACACATTTTTATTTTTTGGACTAAATTGACAAACATCATGTGTGTGATTCGTGGCACAATTCAAACGGGATCGAAAGATAATTTCTCTCTCTTGACTTCAATACATACTTTTTCCAAAATAGGGTCCCATGGAGCTCCCCCGGAAGGGAAGGGACTTCGCCTCTCTATTATCATATGCAACCATGAATGAGCTGTTTATTCCTCATAACACTGTGTACATATCAATAAATGAAGTGTTTGATTTGTGCAATGCAACAAATGATGTATAGTTTTGGATGTATCCGTGCAGTAGCCGTACCCTCTGTGCTGTTATGAGAAACTAACGAGCTGCTTTATGGATGACTGCCAGAAGAGAAACCTTTTCAATCACACCGGGACCATTTCCTGGGGAAGAAAATGGACTAAAATATATATTAAACATGTCAGCGGTTTTAGGCTTTTAAAGCAAAACTCAACATATAGACAGGCCGACTCCAGCATGAGTGCATAGATTAAATTCAGCCTAATAGTCCTAAAAAAGCACCTTAAAATAACTGTATTCTTTACCTCTGTTTTCATATTGCTATTCCAGCCTTCACTTAGATGTCTTATTAATGATGGGAAATGAGGTAGGCATGAATAGATTAAAAGTGTACATGTGTGTGTGACTGTGTGTGTTCAGCTCCAACCATCAGAAGTTGGTTGGATGTTGATTTAAGTGTTATGAACGAGGGTAGAAATCACACAAAGCCCTGTGTGTGTGGGACAAGTTGAAAAACCACAAACATCTGATTATTCACCTGCATGCATGTGAGGAGGGAAAAAAGGACACACACACACAACACTTTTTTTGTTTCGTCAAAGTGTGTGCGGTAAAGGTGGTGTGCTCTCTCATACACATGTGTTCGTAGTGTGTGAGTGTGTGTAGTCAGTATCAGTCATCATGTAGAGTGTAGGACACTTTGAGGAAACAGTGTTCTCATTTATGAAAGAGGATCTCTCGGAAAAAGGCTCCGCAAACAAACACACTCATTTACCTGAAACATATACATCATACAAGCATAAACATACACACACACACACACTACACAAACACACACTACATGCACATGCTCTCTCGTTGCATGGGTAAACACAAACTGAAATCTCAAAGCTGACGCCAATAGATAGACACACACACACACACACACACACATACCATGTATACATCACTTCAGGGGACATTACATTGACTTACATGCATTTCCTGGAGACTTATCCTAACCTTAACCATAACCAACACATGCCTAACGGCCCGTCTACACTACAGGCATCGAAAAAGCTTGAAGCTGGGCGTGTCTGAGGCTTGGCGATTTTTTGCTAGCAACGCGACCAACAACCAATCACATGAATCTCCCGCCCCCGACATACAAAGCAATAGCAATGTTAAAACGAAGTAAACTGGATATAAAATCCCCAAACAGGCGAAAACCTACCAGTTTCACCCACTGTCTCTGCCACCTCCCCCCTTGCCTGGTTCCTCCAGTTTGTATCCCGTTAATAGTTCTGGTCGGAAAGAACCGGGTGATTTGCTACCGTAATTTCTCGTTTGGAATATGAGGAAATTAACTGCGGTCTGGCTCTCCCTGCTTACACGCGGTTTGATTGGCTAGCGCTTGTACTGGCGGGAATTGCAAAAACGGGATTTGATTGGCTGACGCCAGCTTCGAGCAAGCATCGAGCCTCAAAAGTTGAACATTGTTCATTGTTCAACTTTTGACGCCGATAGACGCTCGCGAGGCTTGCAACGCCTTGCCATGCTACCCACAATGCAGTTCGGCGAAGTTTGAAAATATCCTACGTCACCCCATTCAAATGAATGGGCGAAGCGTTGAAAGCATTTTTTTACGCCTGTAGTGTAGACGGGCCGTAACCCTTACCCTTACCCTAATCATAAACCTAACCAAGTCTTCACCCTAAAATTAATGATTCCCCTCATGGGGACCTCCATTTTGTCCCCATAAGGGAGGCGAGTCCCCACACGTGACTGTGTAAACAGATTTAGGTCCCCACAAGTATAATAATGCTAGGTGTCACACACACACACACACACACACACACACACACACACACACACACACACACACACACACACACACACACACACACACACACACACACACACACACACACACACACACACACACACACACACACACACACACACACACACACACACACACACACACACACACACACACACACACACACACACACACACACACACACACACACACACACACACACACACACACACACACACACACACACACACACACACACACACACACACACACACACACACACACACACACACACACACACACACACATCAGGACAGGAGTCAGTCCAACAGGCTAAATAAACTGAGAACAGTTTGACCAGTCATCTGATATGAAATGTATAACACTGACCCTGTCGACAGATATGGGATGAATATATATATACAGGCTTGGAGAGTAATGGATTACATTTAACGGGATTATCAGGATACAAATATGTTATTACCTAAAGTTGGTCAATCATCAGACATGAGCGCTGGTTATATAACGGTTTCACTCTTAAAGAGCTGCTTAAGATGTGCATAGATCCCTAGATACGTGGGTGTACCTACACTTTAAAAATAACACCTTTAAAAGACAAGAAAGTGCATACTGAGCGATTTTGCACAAGAGTCAGGTATGGAAATTAAAATCTTAAACGGCTTATAATGTCCTAAGAGCCATAGCCAAGAAATGAGGGTTTGAAGATTGAATCGCATATTAATCCATATCTAAAAGTAACCCAGAGTTATATTAAGCTTTCTCAAAAAGTCTTCATTATTATCGTTTAAAATACTGATTTATTATTTATCGAAACATTTTACCTCAGCCAAGTCGATCCCAAAGCATTTAAGTTTAAATATAATTTGTTAATGCTTTCTTAGAGTTGTATTGGGGCCTGCGACTACTTTTCTAATGAGCCGCTAATGAACTTCCTGATGCTCTTGCTCCACATTGAAAGCTTTTATTGTGCAGCATCTGAAGGAACATCGTTGTTAGAGATGATATATGTTGGTTTGGTGTAGACACATTAACACCGCATTGAAAATCACACGCTTGCTGCTGTAGGTCATTCAGTGCCAGGCATATGTAAAGGTACTCAGTGACTGCTCTATGTGACGTACAGGTACATCACAGGGATGTGTGTGTGTGTGTGTGTGTGTGTGTGTGTGTGTGTGTGTGTGTGTGTGTGTGTGTGTGTGTGTGTGTGCGTGCGTGCGTGCGTGCGTGCGTGCGTGCGTGCGTGCGTGCGTGCGTGCGTGCGTTCAGGGGGATTAGTCAAGTCAGTGTTTCCACGCTGATATTGATTCTGTAAAATGTCTTGATACTGGTGGGGCATCCAGATAACAAACAGCTGGGAGAGAAACACACACACACACACACACACAGACTTCTGAAAGCTCTCCATGCCTGTGCCAGAGTGAAATGGGAAGTGCGCATGTGCTTACATTAAAGAGAGGTACTTTCCGATCAAACTGTGTGTGTGTGTGTGTGTGTGTGTGTGTGTGTGTGTGTGTGTGTGTGTGTGTGTGTGTGTGTGTGTGTGTGTGTATGTGTGTGTGTGTGTGTGTGTGTGTGTGTGTGTGTGTGTGTGCGTGTGCGTGTGTGTGTGCGTGTGTTGCTACATCCAGATGCCTTTAAGATGGTGCAGAGTGAGTCAGGCTCACTAACCATCAGCAGCTGATACTGAAGACAGTGGTTAGTAGAGCAGCGCGATTTGATAAAAACAGAACTAATTCAACTGATATGGCTATTGCGATATACGAAGGATTCATCATGTTTTATCATTACTCTCTATCATTGAAAACACGACTTAAAGGTCCCCTATTATACTGTTTCACATCAATATATTCCAGGTCTCAGATACAGAGCCTGTCTCTGATTGGCTGAAACACCAAACAGATCATTGCAGCATTACCCATAATCCCCTCTGTTTCAGCCCTGTTTCCAAAGTGCTGATTCTCTGTCTGTTACTTTAGATGAAAATAAGGAGCCCCTCCCCACGCCCCTCTGAGAGACATTTGGTTACAAAGAACTCAATGGTGCTCTAGGAGGAGATTCAGGTGATAAGGTGGGGGGGGGTTACCTTGGTTGCTGATTGGCTAATGGTTACACAAGACAACACATCGTTATGACATCATAAAGTGGCCAAAATCTGATCAGCTCATTTTCAGACAGGTTTTTATATATAATAGGTGACATTTCAATGGCTTCATCCATGCACCTACTTGTAGCTCTCCAGCTGGCGTGCGGCGGACACGGTGAGGAAGCTGTCGGTTCTCCGGCTGTAGGCCAGCGGGCCGGGCAGCAGGAAGCCGGGAAGGAACCTGCCGAAGGTGTAGCTGTCCTGCTCCACGAACATCAGCATCCCGTCCATGGACTGGATACACAGTGAGTGGTGACCTGGGAGAGGGAAGACGTGATCACTGGAGAAGCCTTCACATGCAGCTGGTCATTGTGATACACTGAAACTTTAATTGAATGCATTATGTCAACAGATTCCAGATTTATTGCTTGATGTCCATTTGAACACAATGGATACTTTAGAGGAGAGAATTCACTGGGCTTTGTTGACATGTAAAACATCAGTCCAGTTGAGGTTTGAAAAGTCACTTTTTAACTCAGCAAAATAAATGTTATTTTGACAGCTGTTCAAACGTGTACAAGCACATTCCCCGTAGCTAAAAAGGCTCTTAAATGGTTTTTAATATTGATTTTTTTCGATAGATTTGACTCTTTTAAGTATTTAAACACAAGCAGCAACAAAACACATTCATGGCTTCTGTTTCATTTCAGCCGTGATGTCGTGTTGTGCAATGAGGTGTGTTTCTCCCTCTGGCTGAATCTGATATCTCCATTAACACCTCCACACACACACACACACACACCTGGCTCTGGGTATGAACATGCACTGGAGTGTGTGTTTGTGAGGAAAGGCCTGATGTAGGACATGCTAAGCCTTAACACACACGGCCATAAAGCAGTGGGGCTGTGTGACCAGAGGACTATAATTAGGCCTCGACGCGCTATTAAAACTCACACTGCCATCAACTGGAGGTCAGAGAGACAGCCACCTACAGCGCAACTCACACACACACACTCAACATCTATCAACAAGGATTTAGACGGAAAAGCTGCCCACTCCTACACACCTATTCTGTGTAAACACGTGTGTGTGTGTGTGTGTGTGTGTGTGTGTGTGTGTGTGTGTGGTGTGTGTGTGTGTGTGTGTGTGTGTGTATGTGTGTGTGTGTGCGTGTGTGTGGTGTGTGTGTGTCAGAGTTCCCGTTAGCCGGTAATTACCGGACTACGTCCGTTCAAAATAATTTCCATTTAGCGCAATATTACATCAGTTGCGCAACTTGCGCCATTTATGTGACAGACAAAATAGTAGGCCTATGTGACAGACAAGAATAGTCAATTCTAATGTCTAACACGTAATGTGGAGAAAGAGATGTCCTGTATGGGTTGATTGTGCGTTGATCTGTTGGTAATGCCTCAGGGTTCCGGTGGGCATGTAAACAAATGCATAATGCTGCGCTATACTTTGCGGCCTCACCCGGTTGCATAGCGACGCTTATTGTTTAGGTGTATTTTAATAAGCAGGTAGTCATATCATCTAGAACTAGCTGGATCTGATCGATATGGACATAAACGCGAGTGAAGTCTAATCTGACGGGAGAGAGAGATCAGCTGCTGCTGACGAGTCGACACGCAGCTCTGGATGATCACACGCAGCGGTGAGCGGAACAAAGCACACACACCAGGTTAGAATAGCACACGTAGGCCTAGCTATTTTAATGACCTCTCAAACTACCGTAACTAGTTATAGATATGTTTAGTTTTACTGTCGGGTCACTCATTACTGATCCGCGAGCTGCATGATACTGACGGGCTGTCAGGAGAGGGAGAGAGCGCTCCGTTTATTATTCCCGTGTTATTGTAAATTACTGTACACTTTTGAATAATGTAGTTAATCTACTATAATTAGTTTGTTTATCGAATCATATCAATTTGTTTTAAAGCACAATAAATAACAAAGAAGACCTTTGACCGGCACGTTTCTCATTTTGTCCGGAAGATTTAAACTTTAACGGACATGTTGACCGGCAAAAAAATATTCTCACGGGAACTCTAGTGTGTGTGTGTGTGTGTGTGTGTGTGTGTGTGTGTGTGTGTGTGTGTGTGTGTGTGTGTGTGTGTGTGTGTGTGTGTGTGTGTGTGTGTGTGTGTGTGTGATGTGTGTGTGTGTGTGTGTGTGTGTGTGTGTGTGTGTGTGTGTGTGATGAGCGGAGTTCATGGTGGCCATAAACTTGCTGAAGGTCGCTCACACCACAGACCCGCCCTGCGGTGTGCTGAGAACTATTTCTAATATCGCGAACCTGTTCCCTATAACATAAAAGTTCCCACACGACGGAACTGCTTTCCTAAAAGGAATTTTCTCAACATCACAAATTCTCGTGTTTAAAGAAATAATTGTATTATATTTGTGTATCTTTAGGTAGGACATTTAACGTATCATGGTTTTATAAATATCTTTATTGTATTGCATATTCTTATTTTTTATGTTTTCTATTTTATAATTTATTTGACATTTTATTATAACTTCACATTTTTATATAAATATATTTATTTTATTCTATCTTTTTATTGCACATTTTTAATTTAACCTTTTTGTTTATATAAATATTTTGATTATATTTAATTTGATGTTTTAACGGACATGTTGATTTACTTATAGTATTTATCCAAATATCTTGATTTCGTTTTTTTTATTTAATATTCTACTTCTTATGTTTATAAATAATAAAAAAATTCAATTTTATTTCATTATTTATTGGACATCTATTCAATGACATTCAATGTATGAATATCTTCTATTTCGATGATTCCCTTTACCGATAATGTTTTCAGATATTGTACTTGAGTAAAAGTAGAAGTACTCAGGTCGTGTTCTTGAGTAAAAGTAGAAGTACTCAGATCTTGTGCTTGAGTAAAAGTAGAAGTACTCAGATCTTGTGCTTGAGTAAAAGTAGAAGTACTCAGATATTGTACTTGAGTAAAAGTAGAAGTACTCAGATCTTGTACTTGAGTAAACGTAGAAGTACTCAGATATTGTACTTGAGTAAGAGTAGAAGTACTCAGATCTTGTACTTGAGTAAAAGTAGAAGTACTCAGATCTTGTACTTGAGTAAAAGTAGAAGTACTCAGATCTTGTACTTAGTTAAAGTAGAAGTACTCAGATATTGTACTTGAGTAAAAGTAGAAGTACTCAGATCTTGTGCTTGAGTAAAAGTAGAAGTACTCAGATCTTGTACTTGAGTAAGAGTAGAAGTACTCAGATCTTGTACTTGAGTAAAAGTAGAAGTACTCAGATCTTGTACTTAGTTAAAGTAGAAGTACTCAGATATTGTACTTGAGGAAAAGTAGAAGTACTCAGATCTTGTACTTAGTTAAAGTAGAAGTACTCAGATCTTGTACTTGAGTAAAAATAGAAGTACTCAGATCTTGTGCTTGAGTAAAAGTAGAAGTACTCAGATCTTGTACTTGAGTAAGAGTAGAAGTACTCAGATCTTGTACTTAGTTAAAGTAGAAGTACTCAGATCTTGTACTTGAGTAAGAGTAGAAGTACTCAGATCTTGTACTTAGTTAAAGTAGAAGTACTCAGATCTTGTACTTGAGTAAAAGTAGAAGTACCAGAGTGTAGGAATACTCTAACTGTCACTAATCCCCCAGGATAAATAGAGTATTCTGAATCTGTTTAAATCTGAACGTGCTTTGTTCCTGAAAGACAGACACTAATCTGGTCGTGTCCCCACTTCGAAAAGCAGCACCAGGGTCAAAAACCCAACACTGACTCAGACTGACAAGCTGTACCATCAATAATAGGAAAAGTGCTACGTACTGAAAATGAGAGCCAGGCTGTGCCATAAAAGCGTCCGTGCACGTGTAATTTCACACGCCCAGGTATTATGTGTCAAAGAGCTCTGTATGAGAGCGAGACACAGTGGAGGAAACGGCTGTATTATGGCCATTAATAAGACATGTTGAACAAGCAGCCAACAAAGCACAGAGGCTGGCCACACTGCAGCGGGCAGAGCTGTGTGTGTGTGTGTGTGTGTGTGTGTGTGTGTGTGTGTGTGTGTGTGTGTGTGTGTGTGTGTGTGTGTGTGTGTGTGTGTGTGTGTGTGTGTGTGTGTGTGTGTGTGTGTGTGTGTGTGTGTGTGGCCTAAAAGTGACCCAAACCCAAAGGCAGCACAGCTATTAGAGCAGTATTAGTACAGAGCTGCTATTACACTGCTAAATGACTGCTATTATAGACATAGACACACACACACACACACACACACACACACACACACACACACACACACACACACACACACACACACACACACACACACACACACACACACACACACACACACACACACACACACACACACACACACACACACACACGTGTAAGAGCAGACAGACTTGCAAAAACAGTCCCCCCCCCATACAGACAAACTTTCAATGCTTTCAAAATCCAAACACTCTTTGAACGTTGGAGAAGAGTGCTGTCACACACAGGCTGCTGCAGGAACACACATACACACACACATTAAAATGGACTATCAGACTGAGAGCTACAGCCGTTGAAAACAAGTGTGTGTGTGTGTGTGTGTGTGTGTGTGTGTGTGTGTGTGTGTGTGTGTGTGTGTGTGTGTGTGTGTGTGTGTGTGTCTGTATTTGTTTGTACATGTGCTTTTGAATGTTTCTGCAAATCATTACAAGTGTGAGTAAGCGCGCTCCAGCAAATCAAGCGTGAGATCGGCTCATTTTCATGTCAACTGTGAGGAAAGCTCAAACAGAGGGCAGCCTCCCCAACTCAAACAACTCAAATGACCTGAACAGGAACCAGAAAAAACAAACAAACAACTTCTGTATCAACACAACAACAACAAGGAACATATATTGTTTAAAATGTCAACACTAGAACATGCTTGCAGGAAAATGTGTGATATAAAGCAGAGTACGATGAATCTAAGGGGTTGAAAGATTATAATTGTTTGCCTTTTTCCCTTGATTAATGGTTTAATACTTTCCAGATTTACGTTTTTGGGTTCGATTTAAACCATAAAGAAGGTAAATTAAGAGGTACAGAGAGACAATTAAGTATTCGGCAACTGCAAATTGTCGCTTTACCACCAGTTTCCTGTTTATTTCTTTCTCTTCTACGTTGCTTAGTCTGTCGTTTATCTCCTTCCTATGGTGCTGCTACTCGGTCTGGTTATGTAGAGCAAAATGAAAAGTATACATGTCCAAGGAAGGTTAAATAAAACATGGTGATGTGCTGGGTAAATGATGTGATTGAAACACAAACGTTCCCGCTGGAGTGACCTTGAGGCAGACACTGAATCACTAACAGATCCAGGAGAGCTGTTCTGCAGCTGACCTCCGACCTGCAGCTTGAGAAGGAGCTGAAAAGAGGGAATTTCCCGAAAAGAGGCATTACAGGAGCCCATTCATAAAGTTTCAGGAACTGCAAACTGCAAATGCACAGCCTGCACCGCCATCTAGTGGTGACAACAGGAGAAGAGAGGATGACATCAATTAGGGAGAGGAAAGGAGGAGGAAAGAAAAGGAAATGAAAAGAAAGGGAAAGGAAAGGAGATGAGATAACAGGATGTATTGCACGTGTCTAAGTGTGTTGCCGTATGGGTGAAGGCATGTGTGTGTGTGTGTATGTGTATGTGTATGTGTGTGTGTGTGTGTGTGTGTGTGTGTGTGTGTGTGTGTGTGTGACAGTTGCACATTCATTCCCCACAGGCCCTAGTATTGTCATTATTGAGCCCACACTGTTATTTCTAACACACACACACTGTAAACATGGAATGAATCAAGGGTCCATCATGCCAGGCCACAGAGTCTGGTAATTTCCACACACACACACACACACACACACACACCACACCACACCACACACACACACCACACACACACACACACACACACACACACACACACACACACACACACACACACACACACACACACACACACACACACACACACACACACACACACACACACACACACACACACACACACACACACACACACACACACACACACCTTGACAATACAGCCTTTATTTAGAAGTGCCATTTTCTCTGCTTTAAAGGGGATTCCCCGTCCATGTGTGTGTCTGTCTCTCTGCGTGTGTGTCTGTCTCTCTGTGTGTGTGTGTGTGTTTTTCTTGGACTCTGACTACTCAAGGGCTTTCCCCTACTTGGTTTTTCCAAAAGCCCAATTGACTGGAGAGAGTGCAGCTATATGACCCCTCTCTCTTTCCATCCTTCACTCCTCTTAGAGACTTTTTATATAGTTTTATGTATTTGTCCAGTGCTGCCAATTACCACTTTTGCAAAAGCACATGCACAGATGTTCGCTCGCACGCATGAACCTGAACCTGTATACTTGTGAGGACACGCAAGTAATGTTAAAGGGGACCTATCATGCAAAATGCACTTTTTGATGTCTTTTATTCATAAATATGTGTCCCCGGTGTGTCGGGGAACTCACGCAGCGTCAGAAAATAAAACCCTCTCTCTTTTCCTCCGTACCCAAATCTCTAAAAACGGGGGAACAACGGAGCTGATCCAGATTTGCGTCCGATATGATGTAATATTGGAAATGTGGACCCACAGTCTTATCAGAAACGTTGCTATCAGAAGCAATGCGCAACGTGTTTTGGACGTAATATGGTCTTTGTTTACATTAGCATCGCTAACACTCAGAGCTAACCTGTACTGGAGAGAGTGGGTGTTTCTCAATGTCGAGGAAGGATGCTCCAGAGCCACTATTTCAAGGATGCTACGTCATCGAGTGCCGCCGAAGGACTGTTCCAATGTCCAGCATACTTGGAATTCTACCGAGGCCGGCATACTTCGTAGCGAGACATTTTGAGGCTGCACATGTGTATCCTCCGCAGTCTTAAAATCCCCACAATGCTTTGCGCACGGACCAATTTCCAAATCTTTGGCGGAAATTGCGCTCCATTTAAGGCGGGGCCTCGCATATGACGCACACCTGCACACCTGTTAGCCTGTTAGCCTGTTAGCCTGTCAGCCTGTTCCACCATTCTTCGTTTTCCGAGGCTATAAGATTCTTGCCTCGCTTCTGAAGGAAGTGACTCGGAAGACATGTCCTACCAAGGAAGTGTCGTCGACATTGAGAAACACCCTGTTGTGTAAAAAAGCAGGAAATAAAGAAAGGAACTCATCTGGTGGTAAACCGGTAAGAGTAAAAGCATGAACATGATGGCGTTTAATCACGGGAGCATTTAGCTGAGTATCTCGTAGAATTCTGAGCAGGCATTAGCTCCCCCTCCTATTTTTTTCTTTGTTCAAGCTAAGGACCCCGAATCAGCGTGTCTCTAACAGGGCTGGAATAGAGGGATATGAGGGATGTCTAAAATGCATGATCTGTTTGGTATTTTGAGCAAAACACATCATATACATGTTTTTGATATATTTTTATATATCTGAGACCCATAATATATGCCTAAAAATAGCATGATAGGAGATCTTTAATGGAACACTTTCTTTAACCTTACTGTGCCCTCACAGGAAGTGCATCGCTGCTGTTAGTTAGCTAGCTAGCAACGTTATCGTTGGCGGTACTAAATCATTACAAACTGCTCAATTAACACGGGTAAATAAACGGTCGCTTATTTTCAACACTAGTATAGTAGATAGGGCTGTGCAATTAATTGTATTTTAATCTCGATTTTGGCTTGCAACGATTACGAAAACAACGTAATCAAAATAAAACGATTATTATTTTTATAAAAAACAAAAAAAGTGTAATTGTTTTATTTTATTTTATTGGTTTTATAATTAAAGTTCAGGGTAATCAACTGTTAAAAACATACTGTTCAAATTATTTTTGCATTATGGATGTTTTCAAAGTAAATGGATAATCGTTTTTAATAATTGTGATCAATTATTGACCAAAATAATCGTGATTATGATTTTTGCCATAATCGCACAGACCTAATAGTAGATATTAAATAAAAATAAAACCCACATGTATAACTTTTATTTTATAAGCTGCTGTGTTGACCGGAGCAACCTCAGATAACACGTAACTTTGTATATGCAGCAAAGATGGCAGTCTTGAGTGTCAGAAGTGTCCAGTGTTTCAAACTCAACTTTTGGACCGTGCACCGTCTGGATACTCGTAGCCTCAACCAGCATGTTACAGGTCTGGGCAATAGGTGGTCATGTCATCAGGTCAAGTTTTATATCTTATAAAATGGTAAGATAGCTAAGTTCCTTCTACCCTCCACTGTTGTTTGTTGTATATGATCTGCATGAATGTGACCTTGTGCCAGAGCTGTCTCAGAGATGTTACCATGAGGTGCAAGAATCAGTGAGTTATTCAGTTTCAGCCAAAAAACACATACCTGTGACCCCTCCAAAGGAGCCGTAGGTCATGTTGCAGACGGTTCTCTTCAGATTGTGTTCATAAACCATCTTCAGCTGGTACTGGTCTCCATGCTCCACGTTCCCTGCAGTGCCTACACACACATATATACAAACGGGTGAGAAAAAAAGGAATAGTTTCTAAATACAGTGACCAAAACCGAAAAAGCATAAAAGTGCAAACTGCGTAATGTTTCTGTGTGTTACCTGAAACAGAGTAGACTGAACACTTCCTGGGGTGAAGGACAGCCAGATGAAGAAGATCTGAACACCTGAAAAGATAAACATTGTTATAAAACATTCATAACAACCATGTTCAGAATCATCGAGGTAGTAGTGGTAAATATGAAAATCAACTAAAAGGCTCACTTAATCTCTGCTATAATCCTAATGTCATCGTTAAAGTGCTTGCTCATTATCTTGGAAACAAACCTCAGAAAATTCAGTAACATTTTTGAACAGAAGCGGAGATTCGATGGCTACAATATATAAAGGATCCGAGTTTGGGCCGATGGGTTTTGTAACAATGGGGCCCATGTAGTTCAATGATATATTAATGTCTGATTGCACATGCACATACTATATCTTGGCTTAAAGGTAGGGTAGCTAAGAATGGGGAAACCAGCTCGAGTGCGCTAGAATTTGTATGTATTTATTATCAAAGCACTTAAGATATTCATTGCTATCGGGATGTTAAGAGCATTCCATGGAATATAACAAGTGTTTCTGAAGTGAGTTACCTACCCCACCTTTAAGAAGCACTCCTAAAAAACATCATCTGTTTAGAAGTATTAAGACCCATGCGCTTAATAGTTATATTTATACTTTCAATATCTGCAAAGCCAATGTTTCCAGGGGTGGCAGAAGCACTAACCAAACCATCAATTTTGAATGATTTGTTGAAGCATTCATAATGCGTACAGTCAGAGTAACGTTCCTGTTCATTTTGGTGATTTATGTGTATCAAATAAAATCTAATGGTCACAGATCTTCGGACCAAGTGACGTTGATGATGTAGCTGGAAATATTTACACCAGGTTGCTGGTGTTTGCTTCTTAATGACGTTTCTAATTGTGACTTTGATTTGTTTTCTGTTCATGTTTTTAAATTGGTTGTCTGTAAGGTGCTGCTCCCTATCCTGGTTAGTCTTCATGAGACTTCACCTGGTTGATACAAAATAAATACAGTTATGATTTAAATTGTAAATAACACCGCAGTACATTCATAAACTTAATTTGTTTACATTGTGTTTTATAACAAACATAATGTTTAAGCTTAAAGGTCCCCTATTATACTGTTTTTCATCAATAGCATTACCCATAATCCCCTCTGTTTCAGCCCTGTTTCCAAAGTGCTGATTCTCTGTCTGTGACTTTAGATGAAAATAAGGAGCCCCTCCCCACGCCCCAGAGTCTCTTTCCACAGAGGGGACACATGTTGATGTAGAAGAGACATGGAGAAGAGGGGACACATGTTGATGTAGAAGAGACATGAAGAAGAGGGGACACATGTTGATGTAGAAGAGACATGAAGAAGAGGGGACACATGTTGATGTAGAAGAGACATGAAGAAGAGGGGACACATGTTGATGTAGAAGAGACATGAACAAGTGCATTTTTCATAATAGGTGACCTTTAAAATAACTGATTTTTTATTTTACTTCTTCCGCTACAGAGCTCAGAGTTTGTTTGTTTTTTGCTCAAAGGCACCTCAGCACGACAGATGCTTCCTGCCGCAGTGGTTGGAACCATATGTTCAGCTAAAGGGTGGTATCCAGTCATATTTTAACTCATACTTTTAAAATAATTACTCTAACAGCTGCTGGTTTATTCTAACGTTTGGTTTTGGTCTCAATGATGCTGATCCTAGATTTTCAAGTATTTGCTTGACCACAAAGCCGCAGAGAAGGCCTCTGCCTACGCTTTGGACCCAGAACAACTGCTGTCTCACTAACGTTCAACAACTGCTTGTCAAGAGAAGAACAACAAGGGAGGTGAAAACTGGATCCCACAAGCTTTCTTTCTTTCTTGGAAAACTGCCCAAGTCAGTTCTGAAGTTACATTTCTCACCATCTGCCCACTTCTTGTCAGTCTGCCCTGACAATATCTACAACGTGCTTCACTGTCAAGGCCGGGCCGGACACCAAAATGCCTCGGAAGAATGCTGGGCTGAAAAACCACAGGTAACCAAACAAGACGTCTCCCAAACAGACTGATTTAGCTGGATTCAGCGTACGATGTGCGATGTGGGAAGCCTTCGGGGCAAACCACCGGAGCTGTTCCCAGAAACGTCACTTTGTTGAAGCTTCCTGTGCACCCATCGAAACGCATTAGGGGTGTATATTGTTCAGCTAAAGTAGGGATGCCAGGGTTAGGGGTTCAATGCCTTTTTGTAGTTAAATAGATAGCTGCCGTTGATTGATCTCCTGTAATTCAAAATATGTGGAAATGTAACCACCTTCTGTATGTATTAAACTAAAACGGAGCATTTTCTGGTTCCTCAGAATTGATTTTTTTTATGTTAGACTTATTCACTAAACTACTGCCTGAAAATGTTTAGTTAAAATAATTTGTTAAAGATATTGACATATTTTCAAAAGAAACGGAGAGTCATCAGGTTACTTTCATAATTGTATATTCTCATACTCACAATAGGTTACTGATTACATTTGTTCACAAGTATTTAGTTATTGTTACAGATAACATTTTAAGAGTAACCCTCCCAACCTTGGTTATGAAGTGTTTATTATATAAGCTTTACGAAAGATATGCTTATATTTGACACAGGGTCAAGACACAGAGTTAAATAAAGACCTGTGTCCTGGACAGATAAACAGATACACAGATATGGCATATTATCTGTCCTCAAACCCACGGCCTTTAGTTCAATTCCTTAACAGGCCAATATGTCCTCTCCAACAATGACCTCATAACTACTCAAGCCATTACAAATATGAGCAACTTCTATTCAAATGCATTTACTTTAACTATCCCCCTTATTAAAAGCAGTATTTTGTACCTTACTCATCAAATTATCAAGTTAGACACTCCCTCCAGATTTATTTCTCTACCCCTCTGCAAAAACATCTATTTGCAGAAGAGCGTTGAAGTTTAAAGCCCCAACACACTGGAATACTCTACCTGCTGCCTTGCATCATTGGGTATGTTTAAGCATCTCACGTTCAGCTGCTCTGATCTTGTTATCGATGAAGCTGATCTATTAGACACTACCGTCAAATTGTAATGATTGTATGCATTACTTCAAGAATTTTACTTAACAGACTCTACGTGGTTTGTCTTTGTCATGCTATGCTTTCTGTTATTTTGTTCATGTATGTCTGTAAGACATTGCTTTTGTCGGGACCCCCTTGAATCCGAGATTTCAAGGGGGTCATCCTAATAAATACATTTCTATATAAACTTTATAATGAAATGACATTGTCATAAACATTAGAATCAACCAAAAGGGTGATTCTCACGAAACCACCTTTGGTCATGTCTGTGAGGAATTGACAGACAAAATTACAAAAATAATCAAAATAATCAATTCTATATCAAACTGCATTGTGTATTGTATGTGGTACTATTGCTATTTTTGTAGTTGAGGTAGTAATTCATATTTTTTTCTTTAAAGTAGAGACACTATATACTGATATACACCTGAACATCAGCAGGAGAGGACTCTTTAAAGTAGAGACACTACATACTGATATACACCTGAACATCAGCAGGAGAGGACTCTTTAAAGTAGAGACACTACATACTGATATACACCTGAACATCAGCAGGAGAGGACTCTTTAAAGTAGAGACACTACATACTGATATACACCTGAACATCAGCAGGAGAGGACTCTTTAAAGTAGAGACACTACATACTGATATACACCTGAACATCAGCAGGAGAGGACTCTTTAAAGTAGAGACACTATATACTGATATACACCTGAACATCAGCAGGAGAGGACTCTTTAAAGTAGAGACACTACATACTGATATACGCCTGAACATCAGCAGGAGAGGACTCTTTAAAGTAGAGACACTACATACTGATATACACCTGAACATTAGCAGGAGAGGACTCTTTAAAGTAGAGACACTACATACTGATATACGCCTGAACATCAGCAGGAGAGGACTCTTTAAAGTAGAGACACTACATACGGATATACACCTGAACATCAGCAGGAGAGGACTCTTTAAAGTAGAGACACTACATACTGATATACACCTGAACATCAGCAGGAGAGGACTCTTTAAAGTAGAGACACTACATACTGATATACACCTGAACATCAGCAGGAGAGGACTCTTTAAAGTAGAGACACTACATACGGATATACACCTGAACATCAGCAGGAGAGGACTCTTTAAAGTAGAGACACTACATACTGATATACACCTGAACATTAGCAGGAGAGGACTCTTTAAAGTAGAGACACTACATACTGATATACGCCTGAACATCAGCAGGAGAGGACTCTTTAAAGTAGAGACACTACATACGGATATACACCTGAACATCAGCAGGAGAGGACTCTTTAAAGTAGAGACACTACATACTGATATACACCTGAACATCAGCAGGAGAGGACTCTTTAAAGTAGAGACACTACATACTGATATACACCTGAACATCAGCAGGAGAGGACTCTTTAAAGTAGAGACACTACATACTGATATACACCTGAACATCAGCAGGAGAGGACTCTTTAAAGTAGAGGCACTACATACTGATATACACCTGAACATCAGCAGGAGAGGACTCTTTAAAGTAGAGGCACTACATACTGATATACACCTGAACATCAGCAGGAGAGGACTCTTTAAAGTAGAGACACTACATACTGATATACACCTGAACATCAGCAGGAGAGGACTCTTTAAAGTAGAGACACTACATACTGATATACACCTGAACATCAGCAGGAGAAGACTCTTTAAAGTAGAGACACTACATACTGATATACGCCTGAACATCAGCAGGAGAGGACTCTTTAAAGTAGAGACACTACATACTGATATACACCTGAACATCAGCAGGAGAGGACTCTTTAAAGTAGAGGCACTACATACTGATATACACCTGAACATCAGCAGGAGAGGACTCTTTAAAGTAGAGACACTACATACTGATATACACCTGAACATCAGCAGGAGAGGACTCTTTAAAGTAGAGACACTACATACTGATATACACCTGAACATCAGCAGGAGAGGACTCTTTAAAGTAGAGACACTACATACTGATATACACCTGAACATCAGCAGGAG